AACAAAGGTAGTCTCTAGACTATAATACCTCTAGAAGATGGCCATAGTTAGGGTAAATTCCATCTTTTTTCTTTGGAAATGTATGCTGCTGCGGATTTTTTGTAAATCAAATTGCGTGATAGGTTTAAAATTTGTGAGCATGTTTAAAGATGGATCATAGAAAATTGAGGAAGTTACAATAAAGGAACTTTCATTTCTTGTGCACTGATAATAAGGATTACCCATTTCGTGATTGTAGGTACATTTGAATGCATAATTTCAACAATTTTGCAAAAGGAAAGCTTATTCACGTCCATTAGCCATTGCTCAATCTTTGCATTATTATCTATTCAGTATAATACACTTTTAGAACCATTGGAGCGCCTGAGATACGCCCTCACCCAGCAAAAAGCTGTCAATGTGCGATACTTATTTTATGAAGTGGGAGGGAACACCTGAGTATTTTTCAAGAAATCGTAGGTTCAAAGAACTTTTCCGATTTTTTTCGAGCTTTTTCTAGAAAAACTTTTTCATGTAGAAAAAATTCGAAAGTTTTTTTCATCTTTTCATTACAGGAATTTTGAGCAGTTTTCTGTAAAGTTGACGCATCACTTAACACTATCACTACATTACCCCCCAATCAAAATTGTCCTTGCTAAAGTTCACAGTTTGGGTGTGGTAGGAAAGCATCCGGTCTCAGCACTTTACCGTCAACGATTTCTTCTGAATCGTTTCTACGCTGCGGGAGATGCACGCATTTAAAATGGTTAATTATCAGGCAAGAACAGGAAGGGATTTTTCTGGTTTTCGAAAATTGAAACTTGTACTGAAGTTCAATTGTTATGATGGCGATCGTGTAAGATGTCATTTCTGATTTCAAGGAATTCTCTGGAAAAAGGGTTTACTTTCAAAAGCTTTTTGAAAATTTTGTCCAAAAATCATGACACTGCGATTACTAATGAACTCTTCCTCATTACCGTAGCAGAAATGGCACAATAAGGTATGTTTTGACCATAGATGCTAGTTTTAGGAACGTTAATGAGAACTAGTTTTCGCGCCATGAAAGAACTGAAAAAGACACCTTAGCCTTAAATTGGCTCATTGCCAAGTGCAAGGACAATCTTTTGAAAGTCTGGTTTCCTTTCACGAAAAGTTTTTTCTTAGCTCTTGATTTTTTCCCATTCTCAAACATAGCTAACTCTTGACCTTTGCTCTCATTGTTTAATCGCCGAACCAATTGCCTTTTCCGTGTT